GAAATAAAGCAATTACGTCCGAATCGGAGTGTCAAATAATTGTTGTTTGTAAAATTTAAATTCTTAATACAACGTAGTCAAAATCTAAGCCCTTTTCGGAAACACTTCTAAATCAAGAACCATTTAATTATTGAAACAATTCTAAATCAAGAAACATTCCATTATTGAAACAAAACATTTAATTTTAACTAAGGCGCTTTAGAAACATTGCTTATAAGTCCCCTCGTTCTTACCACATCTACTTCTCCAGCCTGGCTGCTTACTTCGGAGTTCGAGTTCGCTGAAATATCCTTGTCAAATCTGTTATGTAGATAGCTTGCCCAGGAGCAGAGCCTGCTATCCTTGTCAAATCCTCTTCGCAGATAGCTCGCCCAGGTGTAGAGCCTGCTATCCTTGTCAAATCCACTTCGCAGATAGCTCGCCAAGGAGCAGAGCCTGCTACTCCCGTCCTCCAGCGCATAATTACATGTGGTAGCTCACCTAGGAGTTGAATTAGCCATCGTGAGTATAATCTGAAGAGCTTTACATAGAATCAAAGAGAAAATTTAATATTAATATAGAATGCGCGTATTGATAGATGCAGCATAAAAAACGACGAGGAGGACGTAAAATTAGAGAAAAGAGAGCTCGAATAACTGCCAAACTCAAGAGACCACGAATTATCTCCGACCAGACAGGAGTCTTTGTATCAGACGATTATACATAACAACTGCACACCACAACCGTATTCCACGAAATATTATTGAAGTAAAATCTCCGGCCGACGACATTTATGATTTAGAGACGGTACTTAATTCCCCCCAGCCGGAGCGCGATCTTGATCTTTGTTTATTAATTGAAGAAGATTCTGAAAATATAATTCCTGCCGAAGTCCCAAAATTAGATGTATACACCGCCGCCGTCGCGAGTGAGTTAAATTCCTTTTCTTGTGTTAATAATTACATAAGGTCTGCCGAGGACCATATTGAATTCAGTGAAACAACGAATATTATAATAACAGCCCTTAGTGAACTGATTGACTTTTAAATAAATATAGAAGTATCGGAACATCGAGATTATCACTTATTGCCTATCCATCGCCCCTCCCCCCTTTATTTACCTATCAACATACGGCGTGTGCTTTCAACCTTACCGGGTTATAGCCGGTGAATGCAGGTAGGCCCAAAACTAAAAGGAGAGCAGCGCGTTCTCGTTCCCGAGAACCCGTGGACGTGACATAGTTCATGTTTTCTACGGAATAAGCGTAAGAAACGTTCGCCAATTGAGTTCCTCGACGCTGTAGCATGGAAATAACATAATAAAGCAGAATATTTCAATCACACTCTACAGTTTGTTTCCTTTCACGATTTTACGTAAAGAAATGCAAGATTCAATTGACAATCACAATATGTGTGACACAATATGACAAAGTCTGTAACGAGGACCGTAAAAATGAAGAAATCAATGAGGAAAACAGTAGAAAAAAGATGAAAATAACAGAAACAATGATAAGAAACGAGGTGTAACGGAAATAATAACAAAATATATAATGAGAACCGTGCAAATACAACAATGNTAACTTTAATTTTTAACGCGTTGAGTGCCGCGTCAGTCACCCGGTGACTGATACTGAACTTTCCGTTTAGGCCACGTCAGTCACGAGTGACTGACGGTAGTCATAATGCGCGTCAGTCATTTGTGACTGACGTAATCTCAGGCCGCGTCACGGCCGTCTCTGGTCAGTCACGGGTGACTGACAATAGGCATGCTTCCTATAGTGTGTCTGTGTGTAGTAGTGAGCGCGCGAGGATGCGTCATCGCGAGTGAGACCTTTAGTACTGAAATATAATGTTAAATAAATTGCGTTGCCCTTTTATAATGTAAGGATTGGGGTGAAGGTTTTAATGGATATCGTCTGTCGGCGTTTGTGAATTTAATAATTTATAACATGTGTTTCTATGGTTATTAGCAAATAAAAATTTTTTATATACCGCGGAGCATGGGGTGTATAGGGTGTGCACGCATTATAGTAAATGTCGCGGCTCGTAATGACTTTAATATGGTTCTTTTGAAATGTAACGCGGGTTCTTTTATTATTGACAATTGTTATTTTAAGTTAGCATGTAACGATTAATAATGTATGACTGTGTATATTGCTTTTGAATAAATAAAGAGGAATATTGAATCAAAATGGTTGTGATAATAATTTTATAGTTATTACGACTTTGCTTGTTTTGAATAATTATTACAGATATATACATATATACTGTACGTATGTCTCCCGCGTACGGCTATTTTCCATTAGGTCGGTCTCTGATTGGTCGGTCTATGTTTTAAGAGTCTCGTCTTGGTTCAGTGAAGATTCAGGCAGGTGAGTAAAAAAGGTGTTTAATGGATACGGGCGCTGTAGAATAGAAAGAGATAGAAGATATTGTCGATATGCGTCGCGCGTGCGGTGCAGCTGTTCGGGCGCTCGCGTACATCAGCTGTGGGCGTGTGCGCGTACGTGCGAATGAGCTTGTTGTGTGCGTCATTCAGGCATGTCGTGTGTCATGTTATACGTGTAGGTAGGCAAGTGCCGCGTCGTACGTGAGGCTAAGTATCGTTTCAAAATAATATTAAATTTTGCGCTCAGCTCTACGGTTAACAACTTCAAATAAATTTTAAGTAACATCTTCAAATAAATTTTGAGGCGGAGAAGTTACACGAGCGTATCTTATATTTCTTCAGTAGCGAACGTGAACTAATGCAAATTATCTTTGCGGCTTAAATATTTTTGAACAAATACGCTAACTCCATGAGGAAACGTCAAAGAAATCAATCAGCAAGCGAAACTTGCGTGTTTGCGTGTAATAGGCGAAGTAACGTGATTTTCAAGTGAATCTTACGTTTCTTCACGTTAAATCGTGAAAAGAAGCAAGCTGTAGTGTGTGATTGAAACACCTGCTTTATTATGATATTACCATGCTATAGCGTATAGGAATTCAATCGCCCAGTTTCTTTCTTTTCTACAGTAGAAAACGTGAACTATTGCAAATTCACGTTGCGTTTTGAATCCTTTCGATCAAAAACATTGGTTCCACGAGAAAACGTGAAAGAAATTAATCTGCGAGCGAAACTTGCTAGCTTGCGTGTAATAGGCAAAGTAACGTGATTTTCAAGTGAATCTTGCATTTCTTCTCGTTAAATCGTGAAAAGAAGCAAACTCTACAGTGTGTTTGAAATATTCTTCATTATTAGGTTATTTCCATGCTACAGCGTTGAGGAATTCAATCGGCGAGCGTTTCTTATGCAACTTTTGTAGAAAACGTGAACTACTGCGAATTCATGCTGTGTCTTGAATCTTTTCGATCAAATACGCCAGTTTTACGAGAAAACGTCAAAGAAATCAATATTCAAGCGAAACTTGCCAGTTCGCGTGAAATAGGCGAAATAACGTGATTGTCAAGTGAAACATGTGTTTTTACATGTTAAATCGTGAAAGGAAGCAAACTGAAAAGTACGATTGTAATATTCTGCTTTATTATGATATTTCCATGCTACAGCGTGGAGGAATTCAATCAGCGTGCGTTTCTTACATTTCTTCAGCAGAAAACGTGAAGTAATGCAAATTAAAGTTGCTGCTTGTATCTTTTCCATCAAATACGCTCGTTCTACGAGAAAACGACAAAGAAATCAATCTGTGAGCGAAACTTGCGAGATCGCGTATAATAGGAGAAGAAAGACCATTATCGAATGAATCATGTATTACTCTATGTTAAATCGTGAAAGGATGCAAACAGAAGAGAATGATTGAAATATTTTGCATTATTATGTTATTTCCATGCTACAGCGTCCGGGAATTCATTCGGCGAGCGTTTCTTACGTTTCTTCTGTAGAAAACGTGAACTAATGCCAATTGACGTTGCGGCTTGAATCTTTTCGTTCAAATAAGCTAGTTCCAACGATAAATGTCAAAGAAATCAATCTGCGAGCGAAACTTGCGTGTTTGCGTGTAATAGGCGAAGTAACATGATTGTCAAGTGAATCTTGCGTTTCTTTATGTTAAATCGTGAAAGAATGCAAACTGAAAAGTGTGATTGAAATATTCTGCTTTATTACGTTATTTCCTAGCTGCAGCCTTGAGGAATTCAAGCAGCAAGCGTTTCTTTCGTTTATACAGCAGAAAACGTGAACTAACGAAAATTCACGTTTCGGCTTGAATGTTTTCGAACATATACGATAGTTCCACGAGCAAACGTAAAAGAAATCAATCTGCGATAGAAAATTGCGTGTTTGCGTGTAATGGGCGAAGTAACGTGATTGTCAAGAAAATCTTGCGTTTCTTTACTTTAAATCGTGAAGGCATGCAAACTAAAAGTGTGATTGAAATATTCTGCTTTATTGCGTTATTTCTATGCTGCAGCATCGTGGAATTTAAGAGGCGAGCGTTTCTTTCGTTTCTACAGCAGAAAACGTGAACTAATGCAAATTCACGTTTCGGCTTGAATCTTTTCGAACATATACGCTAGTTCCATGGGAAAACGTAAAAGAAATCAATCTGCGAGCGAAGTTTGCGNTGGCGAAGTAACGTGATTCTCAAGTGAATTTTGCGTTTCTTTACGTTAAATCGTGATAGTATGCAAACTGAAGACTGTGATTGAAATATTCCGCTCTATTACGTTATTTCCATTCTGCAGCCTCGAGAAATTAAAGTGGCGAGCATTTTTTTCGTTTCTACAGCAGAAAACGTGAACTAATGCAAATTCGCGTTTCGGCTTGAAACTTTTCGAACATATACGCTAGTTCCATGGGAAAACGTAAAAGAAATCAATCTGCGAGCGAAGTTTGCGTGTTTGTCACGTCCTCGGGCCCTAATGAACGGGAATGCGCTGCTCCCTGTTTGTTTTGGGCTTACCTGCATTCACCGGCAATAACCCGGGAAGGTTGAGAGCATCCGTCGTACGATGGTAGGTAAATAGATGGAGGAGGGGGTCTGGACATCCAATAAGTTAGAATCTAGTTGTTCCGATACTTTTATATTTATTTAAGTGTCAATTAATTCACACAGAGCTGATATTATGATATTCGATGTTTCGCTGAATTCTATGTGGTCCTCGGCAGACCTTACATTATTATTAACACAAAAAGAGGAATTCAACTCACTTTCGACGGCGGCGGTGTGCGCGTCTAATTCTGGGACTTCGGCAGGAATTATATTTTCTGTAGCTTCTTCAATTAACGAACAAAAATCAAAGTCGCGCTCCAGCTGTGGGGAATTAAGTACCGTCTCTAAATAATAAATGTCATCGGCCGGAGGTTTTACTTCAATAACCTTATTCTCTAATATTTTGTGAAAAATGGTCGTGGCGCGCAATTTTTTTATATACTCGCCTGATACGAATATTCCTGTCTGGTCAGAGATAATTCTCGGTCTCCTGAGTTTAGCGGCAATACGAGCTCTCTTTTCTCTAATTTTGCGTCCTCGTCGTCGTCGTTTATGAGGCATCTAGCAATACGCGCATTTTATATTAATATCAAATTTACCTTTAGATTCTAGGTAAGGCTCTCTAGGTTATACTCACGATGGCTAACTCAGCTCCTAGGCGTGCGGCCACGTGTAAATGTGCGTTGCAGACAAGGATAGCAGGCTTTGCTCCTAGGCGAGCTATTTGCGAACGGGTTTTGCAAGGATGGCAGGCTCTGCTCCTAGGCGAGCTATCTGCTAAACGGTTCTGACAAGGATAACAGGCTCTGCACCTAGGCGAGCTATCTGCGTAACAGATTTAATAAGGGGATTTCAGGATATTTCAGCGAACTCAAACTCCGAGGTAAGCAGCCAGGGAGAGGGAGCAGATGTGGTAAGAGTGAGAGGATTTATAGGCAATGTTCTAAAGCGCCTTAATTAGAATCAAATGCTAGTTTCAATAATTAAATGTTTCTTGATTTAAAATTGTTTCAATATGGCTTGCAGAATTTAGAATATGAAGTTTAGAATTTAATATTTGGAAAGAACACACTTATTAGACACTCGATTTGGACGTAATTACTTTATTTCAACTGGATAGGCTCTAAGCGAGATTCCAATAATTATCGTATATTATTTAGAGCTCTATCTGTTCACAGGGTGGCGATGCAGCGGAGGAATAAAATACAAGGCACTTCACACGTCTGGAGATTCGCATGGAATCATGACATCAAATTCGTATATTTCAAAAGTACAAGAAAACAAGACTTACGTTACGGACGGCTATTACAGGGCTCGTGCGCACGCAGTGGAGGCTCGGTGTGAAGACTGTGGAACTGGAACTCACTGCACCGTTGTTTAAACTTGCCTGGTTTGCCGGGAGCGTTTGTAAAAACTGCTCGATTACCAAGGAGCTGACTAACTAGCCTCATATGAGGGAGCGAGCCGCTCTAGAGAGAATACTGAGTGTCGAATGAATGAATCGAAATATAAAAGTAAAAGAGTACTGTGACTCGGCTAATAATGACTGCTGTCTGAATAAGCTATAAGCGAATAAAGAACAATGACTGAATAAGAGTGAAGACTAAACACTGGGGCTGCTGCGCGCGGGTTTATATACCCTCTGGCGACAAAGGAGGGGATGGGACCGGAGTGGGGGTTCGCGCCTTGGTAAAATTCTAAGAAGATCGGTGCTATGCCATTTATGAATAACAAAGAAAAGTAATGCCTGAGTAACTCGAGATTTATTCAGGATGTTTAAATTATGCCCGGTGGCTAGAGAGTTTTAAGAAGGCTAAGGTATGCCCGGTCGTTTAAGACAGCGCGTGATAATTTATTAATTTTTTCAACTCGTGTCTCTAATAATTTAATACGTTCGACATTCAGTATTGCACCTCTTAAATAATTTCTAATAATGAGTGCTCTTTTATTATGAGCTTACTTATGGTGCGGTGAATTTCAGTGTCCTTACAATATTTAATATTGTGCGAATAACGGCGATAACTATTAATAATATATATGTATAGTTATACGTATTGCCTATAGAATAAAGCGGTGTATTATAATATTGTGTGTGTATCGAGCGCTCTTGATTAATAATTATAACGTTAATAATCATGTATATAATATTGTTGTGTGGCTGTGTGCATTATTAGTTACATCAAATTATGTTTTGTATAGCGGCAGTGTGAACTAATAGAGAAAAATAATTTTGGATGCGGCGTTAATGTATTTTAACGGATTTTAGATGCGGCGCCGATGTAATCTAACGCGTTGAGTGCCGCTACAGTCACAAGAGGCTGGCGGTGTGCGTGCTTCCTATAGTGTATTTGTGTGTATAAGTGAGCGCGCGATGATGCGTCATCGCAGGCGAGACCTTTAATATTGTAATATAATGTTAATATATTTTATTGCCCTTTATAATAGGAGGATTGAACTACAGGTTTCAATGGATATCGTCTGTCGGTGTTTGTGAATTTAATAATTTATAACGTGTGTTCCTATGGATAAAAGGGGTGTTTAATGGACACGGGCGCTGTAGTGTAGGAAGAGAGAGAAGATATTGTCGGTCTACGTCACGCTTGCGGTGCTGCTGTACGGGCGCTCACGAATACCGGCTGTATGCGTGTGTGCGTGTACGTGTGACGGGTGTACATCATTCAGGCGTGTCGCCTGTCGTGTTGTATATACAGGTCGGCACGTGCTGCGGCGTACGTGAGGTTAAGAAACGTTTCAAAATAATAATGAACTTCGCGCTTGGTGTTACGGTTAAAAACTTCAATGAATTTTGAATATTAGCAAAAAGATATTTTGTTAGCAAATAGGAATTTTATATAGAATAGAGTATGAAACGTATAATGTGTGCACGCAGTATAGTATGAGTCGCGGGTCGTTATAAATTTAATATAGTTCTTTTGAAATGTAACGAGTATACTTTTATTATTGACAGTTTAAGTTAGCACATAACAATTAATATTTTATAACTGTGTATGTTGTTTTTTGATTAAATAAAGCAGAATATTGAATTGAAATGTTTGTGATAATAATTTTATGTTATTATGAATTTGCATGTTTCAAATAGTTATTACAATTATATATATATTATGCGTATGTTTCTGGCGTTTGTCTATTTTCCAATAGACCGGTTTCTGATTGGACGGTTGGTGTGAAGAGTCTCGTCTTGATTCAGTGGGGATTCAGGAAGGTGAGTAAAAGAGGTGTTTAATGGATACGGGCGCTATAGTGTAGAAAAAGAGAGAAGATATTGTCGGTCTACGTCACGGTCGCGATACTGCTGTACGGGCGCTCACGAATAGCGGCTGTATGTGTGTGTGCGTGTACGTGTGACGGATGTACGTCATTCAGGCGTGTCGCCTGTCGTGTTGTATATACAGGTCGGCACGTGCTGCGGCGTACGTGAGGTTAAGAAACGTTTCAAAATAATATTGAATTTCGCGCTTGATGTTACGGTTAAAAACTTCAATAAATTTTGAATATTACCAAAAAGATATTTTGAGGAGGGGACGTTACAGAGCTAGCGAATTTGTTCGAAAAGATTCAAGCCGAAACTGCATTTGCATTAGTTCACGTTTCCTGCTATAGAAACAGAAGAAACGCTCGCCGCTTGAATTCCTCGAGGCAGCAGCAAGTAAATAATGTAATAGAGCAGAATATTTCATTCACATTCTTCAGTTTGCATTTGTTCACGATTTAAAGTAAGGAAACGAAAGATTCACTCCACATTCACGTTACTTCTCTTGTTACTCGCAAACTCGCAAGTTTCACCCGCAGATTGATTTATTTTACCTTTTCTCGTGGAACTAGCGTATTTGGTCGAAAAGATTCAAGCCGAAACGTGAATTTGCATTAGTTCACGTTTTCTGATGAGGAATCGAGAGAAACGATCGCCGTTGGGAATCCTCGAGGCTGCCGCATGAAAATAACGTAATAAAGAAGAATATTTCAATCACACTCTTCAGTTTACATACGTTTACGATTTAAAGTAAAGAAACGCAAGATTCGCTCAATATTCACGTCACTTCGCCTATTACACGCAAACTCGCAAGTTTCGCAAGCAGATCGATTTCTTTTACATTTCTCGTGGAAGTAGCGTATTTGGTCGAAAAGATTCCAGCCGAAACGTGAATTAGCATTAGTTCACGTTTTCTGATGTAAAATAGAGAGAAACGATTCCAGCTTAAAATCCTCGAAATTGCCGCATGGAAATACCGTGATAAAACAGAATATTTCAATTACACTCTTCAGTTTGCATCCGTACACGATTCAACGTAAAGAAACGCAAGTTTCGCTCGACATTCGCGTTACTGCACTTACTACTCGCAAACTGGCAAGTTTCGCACGCAGATTGATTTCTTTTACCTTTTCTCGTGGAACTAGCGTATATGGTCGAAAAGTTTCAAGCCGAAACGTGAATTTGTATTAGTTCACTTTTACTGATGTAGAAACGAGAGAAACGCACGCAGCTTGAAATCCTCGAGGCTGCCGCATGGAAATAACGTAATAAAGCAGAATATTTCAATCACAAACTTCAGTTTGCATTCGTTTACGATTTAACGTAAAGAAACGCAAGATTCGCTCGACATTCACATCACTTCGCCTATTACACCCAAACTCGCAAGTTTTGCCCTCGGATAGATTTTTTTTTACTTTGCTCGTGAACCTAGCGCATTTGGTAAAAAAAATTCAAGCCTAAACGGGAATTTGCATTAGTTCACGTTCTCTTGTGTAGAATCGAAAGAAACACTTTCCGCCAGAAATCTACGAGGCTGGCGCATGGAAATAACGTAATAAATCTAAATATTTTAATCCCACTCTTCAGTTTGCTTCTGTTCACGATTAACGTAAGGAAACGCAAGATTCATTCGACATTCACGTTAATTCGCCTATTAAAAGCAAGCTCGCAAGTTTCGTTGCCAGATTAATTTCTTCTACGTTTTCTCTTGAAACTAGCGTATTTGTTCGAAAAGATTCAAGCCGAAACGTGAATTTGCATTAGTTCACGTTTTCTTTTGTAGAATCAAAAAAAACGAACGCCGCCTGAAATCCTACAGGCAGCTGCATGAAAATAACGTAATAAAGCTGAATATTTCATTCACACTCTTCAATTTGCATTTGTTCACGATTTAACGTAAGGAAACGAAAGATTCACACGACATTCACGTTACTTCTCTTGTTACTCGCAAACTCGCAAGTTTCGCTCGCAGATTGGTTTATTTTACCTTTTCTCGTGGAACTAGCGTATTTGGTCGAAAAGATTCAAGCCGAAACGTGAATTTACATTAGTTCACGTATTCTTTTGTAGAATCAAAAGAAATGAACGCCGCCTGAAATCCTCGAGGCAGCTGCATGAAAATAAAGTAATAAAGCTGAATATTTTATTCATACTCTTCAGTTTGCATCCGTTCACGATTTAACGTAAAAAAACGCAAGGTTTGCTCGACATTCACGTCACTTCGCCTATTACACGCAAACTCAAAAGTTTCGCTCGCATACTGGTTTGTTTTTACGTTTTCTCGTGAAACTAGCGCATTTGGTCAAAAAAATTCAAGCCGAAACGTGAATTTTCATTAGTTCACGTATTTTTTGTAGAATCAAAAGAAATGAACGCCGCCTGAAATCCTCGAGGCAGCTGCATGAAAATAAAGTAATAAAGCTGAATATTTTATTCATACTCTTCAGTTTGCATCCGTTCACGATTTA